AGCTCAATCGTGATGGTCTCTGCGGTACTACTATACAGTGTAAATGGTCTGTTGATTGGCACATGGCTGATATCTCTACCCTATTTCCTGTGATTCAATAAAGGTAACTGTTAGTTGAGCTTTATCAGCTCTTAAGTCCAGGATGAGTTCATTTTCAGTTTTGATGCCAGACAATGCAGACAACTAAAATGCAATGTGGCTGCACTTTGGTAGTACATGCATAGCAGCATTATCTAGTATAATTTAATAGGCCTGGGTCAAAGATGAGCCTAGCACTGGTGCAGCATTCTATTTTCTTACAAATAGAAAATTTAAAAAATGACTTACGAGTTTATTTAACTCTTATATCCACTAATTTAAGCCCATTCTTTGGGCTCCTATACTATCATACTTTTGATTTAGGCTGTTAGTATGGCACCTGTCAACCACAGAAAATTACAGCTATTAAGGGATTACCTTTGTTGGGCTCCTGGTGGGAGCCTGTGAAGGAAGGCTGGTGACGCACTGAAGAGGGAGGTCGCAGCCACCAGTGCATTCACCTTAAGGGGCTTGTTTCCATTCTTGGACAAAGACTTTGAAGAGATAATAAGTGTGGGGGATGACTGAGGGGAGAGGATTTAGATGAAAGTATGGGGGACAGTTTTCAGATGAGCAGCAGAAAGCTGTAAAGATGGCCGCCAAGTACATGCACATTTTGCAGCTGTGAGCGAGGAAATGAAAAGCACTAATCTATATTGGGTGGTTTATTTTTGCAATACAGATTAAATTGTCAGATTAATAAAAGGAGACTAGCAGTTGTCTGTGCTTTGCATGTCTGTTATCACTCGTGGTGTTTTGCATGTGGAAGAAAAACTTGATTGGCTACTTCAATTGAAGTACAGTCTATTGGACAGCTCACTTTACTTCCTGGCTTCCTCTAGTTGAGGAATGCAGGAACACTCAGTCAGCTGTCTGTAAGGACCACTTATCTTTATTTCCAATCCTGCAAAGCAATAGACTCCTTTATGAATCTCTGGAGGATACGCAGAGCAAAATGGCCACAGCAAGGACGGTGATTGGAAGTGACAAATTACAGCTGGTCCTCCTTATAGGGGAAAAATATGGGAGCAGCGTCTATTTGCTTTCTGTCTGTGCTGATTAGTATTATTGCATGCATATACAAAACTGTGACACTCTGAGGTTTTCTGCCTTCCCCAAAAAAGTAAGATCACAAGATTTTGATAGAAAATCTTATCCTTTTTCTTTTTCTTTTTTTTTTAATCTTGTTGTTCTTTTCATTTTTTTAAGCAGGGTTTAATTTACTTTTACTTAATATCTTTTAATAGGGTCAATAAAACAGTAAAATGCATAAATTTCAATAACTTTAGGTAAAACAGACCAATCAGTAGTTGCGAGCAGTTGTTTTGTTTTAACATTTTTTGATAGTAAAGTAGTTTGTGCAGCCAGAGGTTAGCTTAGCTCACGTTTTATGGATGAGTAAAGAAGGGCTGACTGCTGTTTAAGGTATTCACTTTTTGGGTGCTGCAGCTACTTCTCCCGGGAGAGAACAAACCCAAACAAAAGTTACGACTGAGTCGCTTACAGAGGTGCAGCTAAGTTGTTGTTACTTCGAGTAAAGCTTGTTGAGGAATTAATTCCTAATTGTCTTCTCTCCTCCCCCGCTGGTCTGTTTTCTAAATGTCAACACTAGCTCCTGTGTGTGCTTTAGTGCCTTGGGTCATGACTCGACAGTGTTTATCCAGTTTGAGGCTCTGTAGCTGTGTAAAAGCATGTGTCGTCATTGCTTTATATCAGACATCATTCAGACTAGTTAAGGCAAATGGTCTATTTACTGTTTACCTTAATACGGAATTGTTAAAGTTAAGTAAATTAAAGTTAGTTTTGACTGGTAGCATTATTTGTACAATTTTTATTATAGATGTTGCACTACTGATGTGAATTCTTTGACTCCTTTTTTTGTGGTGGCTATGGCCCAGGAGGTCATTGATTCAATCAGTGGATCAAGATCAGAGTCTGAGTTTGGGGATGATGATTAGACAATATTCAGATCACAAAAAAAGCAGTATGCAGGTACCTATCCATTTACCATTTGCCTCAGTATGTGTAGTGGACACTTTGTTTCATATCAGCCTTAATGCATGCATTAGCTACCTTATTGATTATAGCTTAGTTCGTTAAAAATAAAGAAAAACTGCACATGCTTTCATCTATTAGGGAGTAAATTGTTTCCTGGAATAACAAAACAACAATTTGTGGTATTACCCATTCTGTATAACCTAAACTAAATGAAGGATATTTATGTTGAGATGCATTTACCTATACAAGCAGTATGTCGTTGAAATGAACAGGATGTGGTTTTGATTTTTTAAATTATTTTTTATGTTTGTTTTTTGCTCAGTTTTGCCAGTGCAGCTCCTGCGTAGGGACCACACAGTGCTTTGTGTTGACACAGAGGGACACATAATTCTCCCATGATGATGGCATCAAACTAATAAACCTGTTGTACTAATGATGAGAGTTGCAGCCTTGGTTGTGGTTGATCTCTTTAAATCAAAGTCCATTTGCAGCTTCAGGGACTCGGTGGGGCATTAAACCCTACGACATCATCATACACAAACGCTCATTCACACGGTCAGTTAGCTCAGGGAGGCCTCTGCAGGCACTCTTTAGCTCTGGTGCTGTAAACGGCCCAAATTTGGACAAGGATTCCAGCCAGATAGCGGTTTGCCCTGAACGTGAGGACGCCGTGTGTTCATGGGCCTGTTTCCCCTGTCCACACGTTTGTTGCCATAGCAACTACAGGAGATGGCCTGACTGTGTTCAAATATGAGTTTGAAGTTTTGGTTTTGTTTTGTTTTTTTTAAATTTCTTTAATATATTGCGCAAGTGGTAATTGTGGATTTCAAGTGTTTATCTCAAGTATTTACTACAATCATTTAGCAGTTGAGCATTTTGTTAGGAAAGCTACAGCTACATTTTTTATTTTTACTTTTTTGCACTCCAACTTCATGACTTTATTTATGACCCTTGCTTTACATGTCACCTCATGTTTGATGTGAGACATTATTTAACCTCAGGCCCTTTGTGTGCACTGAATGAAAAGTGCACTGTATGCTCTTTTCTTCTGCTTTTATTAACTTCCTGATTTGGATTTCGACAGCTTCTTTTTTTCCTCTCTCAGCCTTTTGATAAATGAATTGTACACAATTTATAATATTTTAGTTATGGCCTAAAAAAATCTATATTATTTTGGTACTTAAACATGCCAAGAGACAAAAAAAGAAAAACAACTCCTTGTAGAGCTTGGGCCATACCTAAATGAGTTTAAAAAAAAGGGGAAACTTGAATGAATATACACAGCAACAGTAATAATTCACTTAATTCACCTGGCAGGCCTTAAACAGTGGTTTAAGGCCTGCCAGGGAAACCAGGAAACAGTGGTTTCCCTTCTAATGAAAAGGAAATTCGGCTTTCAGAAATGTAAATTTCCTTTTCTACATAATATGAATACTTGACTAACAAATAGAAAATGCAAATTTGTTCCTATCATGGTGCAAGTTTGCCTTCATAATCTAAGCAAAGTCCCTACACCTCCCACTTAATGAGTCAGAGGATCTTAAATTAATCTCATCTGTGTTACTTTCATTTTAATTGTGTCATTTGGGTAGTTTGGTTTGGTGGGCCTTCCAGAGAGAGGTTCAATATTACCACTGCTGTAGAAGCATCATACTGGTCTATGATGAACACTAACTGCAAAGCTGCTCATATAAATTCTAAAGCAGTCTTTGTGCTCCTGATCTTGTTTAGTGACACTCTGTAATATGTCCTTTGTCCCCCTATTTTAGTGGGTGGTCTCCTTGTGTGCTGCATAGTAATATGCTTCATTTGGAGTGTTTGTGGTCTTTTGATGTTCAGAGTCAAACTATATTTAGGATGGGTTTGTGCACAGTCTCCCTCTGGTATCTTCACCCAGCCTAGAAAGTCTGTTCTGAGCTCGGCCTCTAAGCGGAACAGAGCTCTTTTAATGTAAAATCCTTCTGGTTTTACTTGTTGGGTTCTCCAATTTCCCCTCACCCCAACTTGCATACCTGTTAAGGACATCCTCCCTCCTGTCTGTAAACAAGAAACAGGCATCCTGTCTGTCACAGCACTAAAGAATGGCAAAACGATTGGATTGAGTGCTGGCAATTAGAGGCATTAAATTTTCTTTCCACACAGATGTTGATTTGAAGAATTCATCATCTTCTTAGTATGAAGAAAATGGACTTTGTGTTTGTCCATGTGCATGTGTAGTTTTTGTGGTTTCAATTACTGAGACTTACTGATTTGTCACAATACTAAACTTCCTAACTTTAGACGCTGCAAATACAGGGCCTCCAAAAATTAAATGAATGCCTTTTTATTTATTTATTTACTCGTGGCCCTGTTTATTTGTCATAAAAACAAGACTGTGACATGAAGGTGGTGATAGCACTGTAAGTGGGAGGAGGTGGGAATATGTGGGCACTGCAGTTTGTCAAGTTGAGGTTTAGAGCAACAAAGCACAGCTGGTGTCTCTGTATTATTACTGCAAATAATGATAATTAAATGGTTTATGCATTCAAAATCCAATTGTTTTTGACAGCTCTGTACTTAAAGATGTATAGCACAGCTAACCTTTTTTTCAGGTTTTCGTTTCTACACTATATAACTCTCAGGATAAAGTAGCAGCAAATATATGCACAGCACCCCAGTGCCTCTGTCAGCAGTACTATGCTATGTGGTATTTCTAGCACCCCTGCGATGTGCGAGCATTTTGAGAATGCTTCAGCTGCCAAAATCTCCCAGCAATGCACATGGCAACCAATCGGGGGTGTAATGCCCTTTCCATGAGAGATGCAACTATAGCACAAGCCACCCCACTGACATAAGCACTCAAGCATGTGTGCATGTACCCAAGTGCACTTAGTTCAACACAGTCAAGAAGTTGTGGCCTTATTCATTTTTCTCCCCTGTCTCAGGCATGCATAGATGACAATGTCGACATGGTGACTTTCCTGGTGGAGCATGGAGCCTGCATCAACCAGCCTGATAACGAGGGCTGGATCCCCCTCCACGCTGCAGCTTCCTGTGGATACCTAGACATAGCAGAGTGAGTATCAAGAGGCCTTTTTGGCGCTAGTATCTATTTCATCAGGTTTGATTTCTGCCGACTCATCCTCACTTCCTGTTTTGTTTTGTGCTGCAGATATTTTGTAACTGCTAAATTCCTCCCTGAACCTTTTGTGCAAAGTTTTCATTAACATTTCTGGACTGTGAGGCACAAAGTGACTTTAGGGCTGGCCTAGCAGTTTTCTTATCATGCATCGTCTCTGTACAGCTGGATACAGCATGAGATGATAATATAAGTGATATCTGATTACGTTAACACCAAGAGCAAAAAAATTCCCTGACAGTGTTTAGAGCAGTCTGAAACCAGAGCTTTTAGTTTGCATGATATACTTGTGCACATCCTCATCTCGTTACTGGAAACTGTGACAAGGTTTAATATGAGCATCAAATATTGTACCAGAGTGTATATGTGACAGACGTTAAGGAAACTCAAAATGGGTTCACTTAACGTTGCATGTGTGCCTTTCTGTTGTTATATCTGGCACTGTGTTGACTAATATTTGGCAGTCCTTTAAGCTGATGGAGAGTTTTCTTTATCTGAGCTGCACCTGCGGACAAAGGGTATCATTTGCTGTACAGATTCAGGGGTTTTCCTCACTCAGGGGTGATGGAAAAAAAACTAAGCTGGGGGGTTGTTGACCCATGATGCCATTTCATAAGGTGTGCCAGAATCAAAATGCCAAGAACCAATCATAGCCTGTACAACAGTTCTCATCACATTTGGACAGCAGCGGCAGCCCATCTGATAACTTGCACATTGTTATGTGTGTACATCTGTGATGTAATCAAATATGGAGAGATCAGGGTCACCTGCTGTATCTGGAATCAAGCTCTGAAGTTTCACTCAAGTATTTTCTTGCTCGTAGTGTTTTTTCAACTGAGAAGACTGCTCATAGGGCAGAGATGCTATCATAGGATATTTAAACTAGCTAAAGGGGGCTGATGGAGCTCAGTCGTGCTCATTGTTCAGCTTATTGAGAGAGTGCTATGACCTGCTTTATTTGTGTTGCATTACAGGAACCTGGCTAAGAATGTATTCCTCACTGCTGGTGTTTTCCCAAAGTTTACAAACAGCCATCGAAGGAAAAACATCTTACATTAGCCATTTAACTGAACTGCCCAAATGGTCTTCTCAGAGCAGCAAAATCTGCATTCAGCTGGCCTGAACTTGACATCAGCACAGAAAACAAGAAGCTTTCTGTTGTCGCATTTTGAAGCAAAAGGTCAAGTGCCGATCCTCATACTGGTGACTAATGGAGACATCATGTCACGGAGAGAAACTCGACAACCTGATGTGGGCGGTGAGCTCTCAGTAGACCCATTTTAATCCCAGGATCTTCATTGACAACAGCGGGAACTGCAAAGCAGGGCTGGATCTGTCCCTAGAAGTGACCACAGCCTTCTAATTGTAGGCTTGGTTCAAAAGCTCCAGACCGCAAAGCCAGGAAAACTAGTAAAGCCAACCTAAAATAGGCAGAATAGAAAGTGCAATCAAAAAGAGATAAAAACCTTGAAATGTAACTGTGTAGTAAGTCAGTAGTTGCTATTTAAGGGGGTGGGAATTGGATTGTGCGTGTTTAAAGTCTAACGAGAAGGCCTTGAATTGTGCCACAGTTTTAATTTGAGGCAGCTGAACTCAAGATGTAGACGGGTTAACATATTTTGAGTGACTATTGAGAGTAGTATTTAAAATGTAACCAAGTAGACATGAATGCAGTGTTAAATTGTGTTCTTTATAGAAGGTTTCATGGCCCAAACCTTGATCTTCCTGGATAATCCTGGAGAAACATATCTGCTTGAAGCGTGTCCTTTGAGATGATACTAGATCTCAGAGATGCTGCTTATGTTGAGAGAAAGAAGAGGGAGGCGTACGGCCCAAAGACCACAGTCCCATCAGTGAAAAATGATGGTGGCAGTATTATACTGTGGGGATGCCTCAGTGCATCTCCAACTGGGAATCTTATCGAGGTGTCATCCAGCAGATCCGTTGCTCCTGGTGAAGAACTGCCTTCTCAGAATGGAAATGCTTCATCGTCATCGACCAGTTATTTTGCAGAAAAATGTTAATTGTTACTACACATGGACCGGGGTTTTGCCACTCCTCGCCATCACTACATTCTTAGCTTCTTAGGTGTGGTATGTTCAGTGTTTACATAGCCGGAAGAGGACCCAATACAGTTTAAACACACCATGATGTGAAGGTCATGACTGTCTAAACTGGAGACACAGGTTGTGGTGTAGTTATTGGCTAATGTTGGCACAGAACCAAGAAAAACATTGCACATGTCTCATTTTGAACCGTTTACTCATTTGTTCAAGGAGGGCACTTTTGCCTTTAGCCTATTTTCAAACCCTTGAGAGCTAAAGTTGACCGCAACCTTTAATACAGCTGATACTTGCAGTTTAAAGATTGCGCTGAAAAATATTCTGTTGCCACTAGTTTAACTCTTTTTGTGGTGTTTTTTTTGTTTTGTGATGTTTTGTTTTGTAGGTATCTCATCAGCCAGGGTGCCAGTGTAGGAGTTGTAAACAGTGAGGGCGAGACGCCTCTGGACATTGCCGAAGAGGAGGCAATGGAGGAGCTCCTGCAGAATGAGATCAACCGGCAAGGTACAGTATTACAGTAATGTTGAACTTTGCTCTCCTAGTTTGTAGTAATATTATTTATGCAGAAGTGAACCCTTTTATATAGGTTTACAATAAGTCCTTTTGTTTTCAGTCTACAGTAGCTCTAATCTTACTATCCCACACCCCACGTAAATAAAACAAAAGCAAACAACCAAAACTGGATAATCTGCTTTTAGTGTCTCTTGGCAAATATTAATTATCTGGCACAGAGCTATAGAGATTAATTTAGCCCTTAGCAGGCCACTTGTTAAGGCCTGAACAACTCTGTAGTCAATCTTTTGGGTTAGAGGACAAGGCATTGCACCTCCTTTCACCACTGTTTTTTAAGCAAAGTCAACATATGGTTTTTTAATAATAAAATTTGTGGCAGACTTTACACAGATGAGTTTTGTCTCCAGGTAAAAACTCCACCAGAATACCTGCACCTCCAGTCTCCAGCCATGACAAATAAATCAGCCAACAGTTTGTAGTGTTTCCGCGATTGTAGTGATTGATGGTGCAGCGCAGGACCCAAATGTGAAAGAAAGAATGAAATGGAGACAGATGGATCTTGAGCTTTTGGTTGCTGAAGTTTAGTGTCTGTACACTGTAAGTGCCTCATAGTTGAGCACTGTTGTTTGTTCCAACTTAATCATGTGATGTCTAGAAACAGGCCTGCGGACATGCTGAAGGTAACATAGCAGCCAGGGGGCCCCATTTGTATTCATGCATGTATGAGTATGTTTTCAAATAGGATCTGAATTCTCACTGGGTGTCAGTCACTTGCTGTTTTCCACTTGCCTGTTTGACTGAAAAACTTACATAATATAGAATTGCGATCCACTTGTGTTATGAGCACTCGTGATGATTCAAAAGCAAAACGTCAGGTGTTACTATTTTTGGTCAGGGCGCTCTTGATGAAAGACCCTTCCCTGTGGTGAGGGGCCATGCACACCCCCTCTGGCCTGAGGCCAGAGGGGGTGCTCCTCGGCTTCACTAATAAAGCCTGGCTAGCTTGCTGTTCTCTTAGGTACACATTGTGGTTAAGGTGCATGAATATTATATATTTTTATATTTTACTAAAGGTGGTGCTTGATCCAACTTAGAAAGGACTAACCATTAAAGTTATTAAAGGAAGGTTTAGCATACATGTTAATAATACTGGTGGGGTTATTCTCAAGAAAATGTCTCAAATGAATCTGCCTATATACACCCTTCTTGATCCAGGGACTAGGGAGTAAATTTATAGTCTTGGTATGTAGTCTCGGACCACTTTAGTTAATAGTTTGCACTGAGGTTCAAAGTTGAAACCTTACACAGGTAGTCAGATTGTGCAAGTGCGTAGAATTGCACAAATTTCAGGTGTTAAGTTGCCCTTCTAACAGTCTGTTGATAAAAGGCTTTCTGAGCTGTCAATCTCTGTTCTCTTTAATTCAGGATTCAAATATTTGAGAGCTTGTGGCATCCAGTGATAATTGAACCTAGAGCACTGTTTGCACCATATTATGTAATGTCAGGGGAGTTTGCACCCACCCAGTCCTCAGGTGTCTTAGCCAGTGGCGGCTGTCAGTTTCGATTTGCCCGATGGATGATGGATGCATTGCCTGGTTCATCCTCGCACTGCTTCCCCCTCAATCATTGCACATTTCAGTCTTTTTTCTTTTCTTTTTTTTAAACCAGATTACTGAATACATTTTCAATATGTGGATATTATGAATTTAATTATGAACATGGTCTTGCATAAAGTGCTTGCAAGATTATAACTCAGCTGCAAAGTGAATTTGCAAAGCTGAAGGCAGCTGCAGACAATCCACAGCTCAGCCCTTTATGCTAGAGGTAGGGCGGGCAGCATTATGCAACCAGCTGTTGTGTAATGCTTCTGTATGTTTGTAATGTGATTTTTCTCCTCGCAAAGAGATGCCAGTCATGAGGTTAAACTTGTTAGCGATTGACCGTAGTTTCGCCTTTACAGGGACAACCCTTCCATGCTCTCCTTGACCCTGATTGGGCCAATGATTTACATGCGCTGCCATCTTCCTTGTGTTCTCCATCAGCCACAGCAAGCAAGCTGCTGCCTGTCCTTGTAATGGACTGAAAGTGGACAGCCTCACAATTGATTGAAGGTCCTGTTAGCATAAGAAGAGAGGAATGTGGATTTAGCTGGCAGCAGCTTTTCTTCAGATGAAAATGTAGCCTGATTTCTTTTGACTTGTCTTTACATTTACTTGTTGGGTTTTTGGTTGCTTCGGTGTGGGCTTCTGTAAAGTTTTCTTTTTGGGTTCACCACACAAACTCTTGGTCAAGTGGTAACGGGGCAAAGTGGGACACGATGCCTTTTTTGGTGTAGTGGACTTTCTCTTTATCTTCTTTTTGCTCAGGTAGAAGATGTGCTGTTCCCTTGTAAAAACTCAAAGTTGAACTGCTGCCAATTCTTCCACTCGCCTCTTGTTCTGTAGTCCTACTTGGCCATTTTACTCCCTGCTTTTTATAGACACAGTGCCGGCTCCTTCCCTGGAGATTATGGTTGGTTGCTCCGCCTGACTTGTCCCAATTCCCAAGATTAACACAGTGGTTTTTGGACCTTTTTTTTTCTTTTCAGAAGGAATAAAAGTTGTTTTTTTTTTAATCACTAATTAATAACTCCTGTTGTCTTCGTTTTCCATAAATAAGTCATACTTAATCAACTTGATTGAACTCCCCTGGTAGGCCATAGGACCACCAGCAGTTCCCAAGCCTCAGTTGGTTCACCTCTGCATTGACCAAACCAAGCTAGTGAGGTTTAGATTTGTTCCAAACACGGGAAAAAGCAAAGTCTGATTAATGTTACCTTCTTGGTTCAGGACACTTCCAAGTAGATATTAACCGTGACCGCATTTTATTAGAACTGTCAGTTCAGAGAAGGACACAACGACAGTGAGTCAACAGGCCCAGTCTTTGTCCCAAAGCTGCTCTCTTTGACATAAAACTTTGAAATCCACTTTCTTCCTGTTTGGTTTCACTTTCTTAGAATTTAGCTTACTAATCCTCTCAATGTGCAACATAATTATCTGTGCCATGGTGGTTTTCTGTGGTACATTTAAGATTACTGAAAAAGATATGGACAGATTTGCATGCACATTTTAGCTGCATCTACAAGGTAAGCAATCCACAATGACTTTGTGGCCAAAGATCATAGAAAGTTACTGACATTAAGTTAGGCCAGAAAGAAAAACACTGACAATGTAGAGTGAGCAGATCCTGTGATAAACTTTGCTCTACTTTGGTGAGAGATTGAAGGGACTATCAATGAGAGTGCACAATACTGGTGACTGACACATCACAGATTAGAAAACACATTAGAGTGTAACCTAGGCAACCGGGGCCTTAAATGTCCACCAGCGACCAGCCATCGTTTTCAAAGCGATGCAGGATGAGCAACTTACTCAGTGTGTCATTAACCACTTGGATTTTTGGAATAAATCTTTACCAGGTGCAAGATTTATTGGGCATTTTGTCTTATACCTTTACAAAATCTTAGTAAATTAAAATGCAAAAAAATGTTAGATGTTGCTCATAATAATCCAGATGTGGGAGGGTTGTTAGAACTTAAATTCTGCAGAATGTGATTTACATTAAGTCTGTGTCAGTATGGTAAAATTTGTCAACACATTAGGCATGAGGAGATATTTGTGCATATATGTAGTCTGAGCCTCTGATGTCTACATAAATGAGTCAGTTGCCTTTCCAAAGTGTGTGTTTGCAACAAACATAATCCAAAGACCCCATATGTTGTAATTATTGAAAATATGAAATTTATACTAAAAATAGTTTTTATTGTTTTCAATGTTCCTGTTTTTGTTTCATTTTTTTATTAGCGTGAAACGAGCAGTTGTACTCAGGGAAACTACATTAAACCACTAACAATGAGCTTTACACAATGCAGGACATGTGAATCTCCGAGATATTTAAAGTAAATATTCAGCCTTAGGCTTGGAAACACGCAGTCTTGGACCGTTCTTGTTTCAGCTTGTGTCGACTGTGGGTTAATTTCTTTTCTTTCTTTTTTCTCCTATGATATTTAATACTCATTGACTCATTATCAGAAACCTGAAAGAGTGGAAACCTCTGTGTCTGGCGAACTTTATTTAGGAAACAAATGTCCTTCTCATGCTCCTCTCCAGCTAGCTGAAGCTAACCTCTGGGTAAACGTAGACTTTTCCTCTGACTGCCCTTTCCTCATGGCAGATTTGCAGACACAGATGTCCTTTCATTGCTTTAAAAAGCTTGAGGTCTTAAATCATTCTACGCTGTCAGGAAATGAGTGGTGATGTTTCCCTGGGTGCAGAACAAAAACCTAGAAGACCAGCTGAAGTTTTGGCTTCTGCCCCAGACCCTTTTTTTTTGGATCATTGTTTATACAGTTCATTGTAGTTATCGCGCTCAGATCGTGCAGCAGAGCATTTCAGACAGTCTTGCGCTCCAACCAGGTGTCATCAAGACAGTACAGGCGTGTCAATACAGGCTGCTCTGCATGCAGCATATAGCTTCAACATATTGAGCCACTTACTGGCTGGAGAGTTCGCAGCCGCCGTTGTATTGTTACATTGACAGATTATTGGCACAAAGCTGTTCCCTAGAGCAAATGAAATGGCTGACACCAGAGCATGGCAGAACCATGTTGTGTCTAGTTCCATCCATAGAAAGTTTCTAACAATGAAATGCAACAGTGCCTGGCTTGAGAAAAGTGCAGTTTGAAAAAGCTGCAGCTTCAGCTCTGATGAATTCATCTCATTCATCAGAGCTGAAATATTTTGTTTTGTCTTGACTGTAATCTAGAGCAGTGCTGGCAAACTTGGTGAAAAGTTCATTCAGGCCAGGCCATTACATTAGGTCCTCAAAAGGACAAACCAATACAAGAGATTTAAGTGTCTGCATAGGTACATTTGTTTCTATATTGTTCTAAAATGTTTTCAATCTAAAAGCAACCAGGCGGACTTCACACCTTAACTTTTTCAGCTGATATCTGTCGCTTATGTTCATCAGTTAGAGTAGGCTAATCTGAGAAATGTGAAAGCTGCACCTTTGCTACACAGCTGTGGTCCCTTTGACGCACAGTTTGCTATTGTGAATTACACTGGCTACATTATCCCTATTAAGGGGCGCAGAATTGAGCAAATATTCAGCATTTGCATTCTGCGCAGCTTGCGAGAGAGACAGCTGCTATTACTAATGCCCCCCCCCCCCAACAGAATATGAACAGGTCACTAATGCAACCTGTTCCAAACATTTGCATACCTTACTCTGGATGTAAACAAGTAGAAGTCATAAATATCTTGATCTAATTGGGTCTTGTTCTCTCTCTAGGTTCATTGCTGCAGCGGGCAGCTTGTTCCTAAGTAGCAGGTAATCCCTGGGTGTCTGTCTGTACACTATCATGCTTCTCCATTTCTCCAGGGGTTGATATCGAGGCAGCCCGGAAAGAGGAGGAGCGCATCATGTTGAGGGATGCCCGGCAGTGGCTCAACAGCGGCCAGATCCAAGACGTGCGGCATACGAAATCTGGGGGAACGGCGCTCCATGTAGCCGCTGCGAAGGGATACGTCGAGGTTTTAAAGTAAGCAGTAGCCCTCAGAGACAGTAAAACAGTTGGAGCACACTTTGGTACATAAAGTGTCTCTTGTATGTTACTTTATTTGAACACTATTTATAGTAAAGATGGTGGTGATGCCTAGCCTCATCGGTAATACCAGACATATCTCGGTCTCTGCATCTTGTCATCTTGCCTTGTTCTGACATCGTCACTGTGGGTTGTTAATACAGTTGCACTGCTCAAGGATAGAAACCTCAACGGCCTGTCCATCTGGTCTGGGAAGCCAGCCAGCACACTCTGCTGCCATAGATAGCTCTAAGATCTCTGATGTTTAGCACAACTACCGTACACGGGACAGAGATCCAAATGTTTTCCCCATCATGGCAGATTTATTGGCTGAAATATTTGCTAGCCTCACCGAGCTTTGCTAAGGGATGACTAAGATTTTCAGATTACGTCTCTGTTTTTTCGGGGAATCTGTATCTCATAGAAGTGACCTGGGGTTACAATACTGACGCACAACAGAGCTCGAAGCCTAGCAACACTTTGAAAAATCAGTTTACAGAATGAAATCCGTCATTCACTCCGCACATTCACCCTCCCTGTGTCTTCCTTGTAGGCTTTTAATCCAAGCAGGGTATGATGTAAATATTAAGGACTATGATGGCTGGACTCCTCTACATGCAGCAGCACACTGGGGCAAAGAGGAGGCCTGTAGGATACTGGTTGAGAATCTATGTGACATGGACATCATGAATAAAATGGTGAGGAACTAGAACTAGAAGCAGTCATTAGGTTAAGTGCAGTCTTTAACTCTTACGTGTTTCCCTTCAGGGTCAGACTGCTTTTGATGTAGCAGATGAAGATGTTCTGGGATACTTAGAAGAACTACAGAAGAAACAAAATCTGGTGAGTCACTTTGGCATCTGAACAAAATTCTTGAAAGATTCCAAGAAACCTTCTCATGACGGGAAAACATGTCTTAATTTTTATAGTATAATTTCATTTCCTGTGCTGGACTCATGAGTGTCTTGTTATCATCTTAATTCCAGCTGAGAAGTGAGAAGAAAGATGTTAAGAAATCTCCTCTGATTGAAACAACCACCACTGGGGACAACAATCAATCACTGAAGCCAATCAAGAGGTAACTTTCTAGTGAGAAGTAATGAATGGAAATGGTTAACTGAATCAAAAATGCTAAGGTATGACGATATCTTTAGGAGAACAATCTCACTTTGTCAAGTGTTGTTCTCTCTAAAGTTTTTTTTTTTTTTCTTGCTTTCATGTATGAGAGTAGTGTCTTATTCTTCCTGCAATTGGCCAGAAAGTGAAGCTGGCAGGGGGAAGGGGTGAAGGAAAATGTCTTCAGTTTACCAAACTCAAAACTCTAAAAAAATCTAGTTCACGTTGCTTATCTGTGAGCCCTACTCTCTACTGATGCTGCAGTACTATACTAACAGTGTTACATTTGTGTTTTTAGCAAAGAAACGCTGCTTCTGGAGCCCGAGAAGAGCGCTCCTCGCATCGAGACCTTAGAGCCAGAGAAAGTGGATGAAGAAGAGGAGGGTAAGAAGGATGAATCAAGCTGCTCTAGTGAAGAAGAGGAGGAAGAAGATTCAGAATCAGAGACTGAAGCAGGTACTGTATGATTTTTATGTTAGACTTGTGGTGTTTTGGCTCAAGTCTTGAGCCAAAACTTTAATTATGAACCACCAATTTTATTCTGTAATTTCTGGGCCTTTTATACTTATTCTGCATGTTGGTCAAGAAACCATATTGTGACTATTCTCACCTGCTTTTTTTTTTTTTTTTTTTTTTTTTTTTTTTTTTTGGAACCTCAGCAGAAAAGAGCAAGCCCTCAGCAGCAGTGAGCAACAGCACAACACCAACCAGCGTCACGGTGTCTTCTCCAACTAGCCCAACTAACCAGGTGACGACCCCCACTTCACCAGTTAAAAAGGTACGACCGGGGAACTCTTTGCCGTCCTGCCCTGTCTGGAGAAAGGGGATGGGGATTACTTGTTCTCCCTTTGCAACAAAACCCTGATTTTGCAGTCAGGTGTTTACATATACAGTTCTACAGTTGAAATTAATGAGTAATATAAATTAAAAAATAGCTCTGTCTGGCTTGAATGAGAAAATAAATGTAAGTAGCTTTTAACAAACACGGCAACAGGATAGGAACGGTTGGAAAATTCTGCAGTATAGTTGTAGGTTGGAGGAAAGTGTACAGACTAATGCATTTGGGTGGTAAAAGTAAAACTAGGCCTTGAATTACAGTCATGTTCCACTTTTGAAACTGCTGCCCTCTGCTGGCAGAATAATGCCAAGCATTTTTTTCTAAAGTGAACCCTCTGAGTTTCCCCAAGGGCAGGTTTTCCTCTTTGATTTAATGGGGAAATATTGAACGCATTTAAAATATTGTGAATTATAATATTTGGTGTTTACAAAAATATGTAATGTAATCATAAACTTTGTTTTTTTGTCATTAGTGCTTCTTGTTCTTTGTTCTAGGTTAAAAAAATAGAACAGAAAAGCAGAAGTTGTAAAAACACAAGCAAGCAAACGATAAGGAAGCAAGATTGAAGTGTGAAACAAACATGTTGCACATGTAGGGGACGTTCTTAAAATTTAAATTTGAGGCACCCAAGTCTGTGATATGTGATGCCACCTCCAAACCTGACTTTAGCCCATGAATGAACCTTAAAAAAAAAAAAAAAAAAAGAGGTTGTGTCACCACCAGACACCCATCTAGAGCCTTTTTGGTTTCTTTTTTCTGCTTCTTCTCTTGAGATAAACTACTTGTTCCTGTCCTTATTTGAAGCCTGATTCTCACTCAAACCACAATGTCCTCTGTCTAATAAGTTAGCAAAGTCCAAATTCCAGTGTTTGCATCTGTCACTTATTTTGAGAACATTAATGTCAGTGAGCATTGTGTGGTGTGACTAGGCTTTAAAATGCCTGTCTTTGCTCATAAAGTGTGTTTCTTTTGCTGCTGCTTCTCTTATTCTGTCTCAACCTCTCTGTTCCTCCATGCCCTCCCTCCCTCTGTCATTCTCTCTCTGCATCATTCTCACCCTGGGCTCTTGTCTTGGTTGGCTTTAGTTTGAATGTATTACTCCCCTCATGCCTGTGGCGGAGCCAGGCTGTCCTGCATTGTGGCGTCAAGGTTTGCGCAAAACTGGCATTTCTCTAGTGCCCAAAAAACTTATGGTGAGGCCTTGGTGTGCACCAGAGTTGTTCTGTAATCCTACATGCACCTGTGCACTGATAAAGCACTAAACACTCCTAACCACTCTGACCTGATCCAGGCGATATAGGGTTTTTCCACTAGTTTAATGGCATAAACTGAACATTTCATGCTTCACATTAAAAAAAATTTCCAATGGTGATTGAACAGGATGCTTTTATTGTGAAGAAAAGAATGTAGGAAATGCATTTAAACCACAGAACAAACAGAGGTTAACTAGCAGGTAAATTGCTAATTTACCTGCTACCTGCACTAAGGATTTATTCTCATATTTTGATTACATAATTAGTATCACAATAAGTACAAAGAGGCAGTTATTGTGATTTCTTGTTAAGAAGTTGTTTAAAATTTTCCAAAGTTAACAAAGTTGCCGACATAATGTGGTCAAATAACAGCTGTGGTTTAGTTTCCAAACATCGTTATATTATCAGCTGAAGATCGAGTAGGGCTTGTTTGTGCAGTAAGCTACACAGGTGACAGTGCTGCAGCGTATGAGCCCCTGCCCCACATACACAGGCTGATAAAATGTGCAGCAATAACAGACAGGAATAGTTTTGGTACCTGTCCCCTCCTCCGTGGTGCAATGGGGGAAACAGTTACCTAACCGTGGATGTTCATGGCACGACAAACCGCGCGCGGTGGAAAAACCAAAATCGCAATTGATTGCTGCCAGTAGCTGCTTTTCACCTATCACCCTAGCATGGCGTTTCCACTTGTAATCACCAAATGCACTGTCTTGATCATGCTTTCATTTCACGTCTGTGTGACTTCTGCTGCTTGTAAACTTTGTTTTCAGACAAAACCTCCACAGGCTGTAAGAGTTATTGAAGTCATCATATTTTAAAAATGGCATATAACCAGGAGTATATTTATATATAGTATTGAAGTCAGGAAGAGGCATTCTGGTCATGTGTCACATCTGACATGTTTTTAAAAATAATAAAGTTTCCACCTGAAATAAAAAAAAAAAAATCTAAAATTTGCAGCCCTTATGGATTAATCTGACTTGTTTTTAACCTGTTTGACTTTTGCGTTACTTACCACGATAACTAAAAACCTCTAAACATCTTTGACCTTCTAAATGCTCAACGGTGTCTTAATTAGACTGCTGTCCTTTCCTCACTCAGGTCACTCAGCCTGCTGGAAAGGTTTCAACTAAAGTGGAGGAGGAGAGGAAGGATGAGTCTCCAGCGTCCTGGCGTTTGGCTTTGAGAAAGACGGGCAGCTATGGAGCACTGGCCGAGATCACTGCCACCAAGGAGGCACAGAGGGAGAAGGATACCACTGGGGTTATGCGTTCGGCCTCGAGCCCTCGCCTCTCCACATCTCTGGACAACAAAGACAAGGAGAAGGTCAGAAGGGATTGAAGCAGTTTTGGTTTGGTTTTTTTAGTAGGCGGGGTTGCGTAGATGATTCTTAATGAAAAGGTTTTGTGTTTTTTATCGCGGTAACAGAGTTTTCTTGTAGCAATACTACACAGCTTCTTTACAGCTATGTCCTGCTTGTTGTGCTGCCTGCAGGAAAAGGATAAAGGAACCCGGCTTGCCTATGTGGCTCCAACCATTCCCAGGAGACTGGCCAGTACTTCGGACATTGACGAGAAGGAAAACAGGTGAATCCCTGGAGACGCGTGGCCCTGTGCAAACATGCATTGGATTGTGTGGCTCCTGTTGCTCACTGCTGGGTGCCCCAGTGCTGTGCATGGTGTGGCCTTAAGCAGCTGCTTTTTTTTTTTTTTTTTTAATGTACAGTGATAGATTTAGTAATCAAGAAACACATTAAGGACAATTTTTAAAAATGGGACACCTATTTCTTTAGTATACATGTTACTGTGGAAACGTGGGATACGATTCTAGCTTGTGGTTTCCCAGGGACTCCACTGCTCTGATACGTAGCGGCTCCTACACCCGGCGACGCTGGGATGACGACCTGAAGAACAGTGAAGGAAGTGCCTCCACCATCCGAACCCCCAGCTACCAGCGCAGGTTAGCCTCGGCTGTAGTACAAACCTCTGCCACAACTTTCCACCCCAATCTCGTCGTGTCCATCATACGGGTGCCTTTCATAGCTTTGAAACCAAATTAACTGTGTAGATCATCAATAGTGAATTTATCAGTCACCTTAAGGGAAATTTGCTTTTAGTGATGTCATCAGAGATGTGTATGTACATGCTTGCATTTGCAGCAGCTACTCTGAAAGCCATGCAAATGAGCCCAGCGCCTCTCTGTCACCGCCAAAGAGTCTTTTGCATGACTCTACTTGTCCTGTCAGGTTGCTGTGCCACTGAGATATTTTACAAGCCTCAAACAATCTAACAAATCAATTAAATAAGAAATTCTCAGGGTTGTTTGTGGCACAGAACTTGGACATGGACTTGTGCTGCATTTGTATCGTATGGGAGAAATGCTGGCTGTGAGCCACTAATGAACTCACTCAAGTTTGTAAAAGCTGCTTTGGAACTTGTTGTTTCTTGCGTTTCTGAGTTTCGATGTTTCCAACCAAGACATTCTTAAATCTAATGCTGAAAAGGGGGGAAATGGTGAAGATTTCCCAACAGTTGGATGATTTTAGATGTATCTCATCCTTCTTTAACTCTTTAAATACAGCAAAGTATCATCCTTCTCCCAAATGAGATGAATGCACAAACAGTGTGTCAAAGCTTTAGAGTCTTAAATATGTATGTTTCTTGTTCTCTGCATATATATGTCTGTATGTGTGCGCCTTCACCGCTAACATGCCTGTCTCGCCCACCTGCCTGCCAACACGCTAGCACTTCCCATACGCTAGCGCTAGGGCGGAGCGGCAGCACGCGGGACGTGCCAGCCAAGTCTTCGTCAACCTCCAACTTGGACCCTAACACCTGTAATACTAAACCCTGGCAGCCACCCACCTCCCACTACCCGTCTTACAGCATTTACCGCAGGTACACCAGCCTCACCGAGGCACCACCATCTCTACAAACACCTGTCCTCTCTCGCTTTCTGCATCTTTGCTCGGCTGGAGTGACCACCTTGTGTTTTGTGTTCCCTGTTATATTAAATGTCTTAATTGATGTTGAAAGGCTTTTTATTTATCTGCTGGTTACAACTTTCAGTAAAGTTAGAATTGTGGTTTAAAACATGATTAATGGTAATCGACTACATTTACCACCCTATAGTTGTGCATTACTCCAGTACAAGGAGAAGAACGTATTAGCATCTTCTTCAAGTGAGTAACTGTTTGTTGTTGGGATCAGTGTAGGCATCCTGCATGTTTGTAAATGGTCACTGTGAAGTTTCTCCAGACATTCATATGAAGTGTGAATGTCCCAGGAAGTGTTTAAACACTCATCTAAGAGGGGATTTTATTTATTTATTTATTTATTTATTTAAAGAGAAAATTAGAAGTCATATAAAACAAAAATTTGTTTGGATGTAGCGCCATCACTGCAACTAAAAATGCCACGGTGAGACATCATCATCTGTCCCTTCTTAACAACAATCACTGCTCCCACCTAATGTGCCTTCACCATCAATGCAGCGTAGTAAACTAGTTGGACACTAGTTGTTATACAGTGCAATGAAAAAGAAAAAAACAAAAACAAAGTTGATAAACTCACGTCTTCCATCCTAATTATTAAAGTAAAAGTCGAAACCACGATTGGCCACAATCAAATGGCTCTACTTGCATCTCATTCCATCTTGCCGGTGATTCTTTATTCCACAGCGGCTCATTCGGCAGACGACACGAGGACTTGGGCTCCTCAACCACTTCCTCCGCCACGACCACCTCCACCTCCTCATCTGTTACCTCGCCCACGGGCCATCGTGGCCTGTACTCAAGCCTGGGCTCTTCCTCCACTCGCACTGGCTCCACCAGTCTCACCAGCAGGTACAATTTATTTCTTTTCAGGTTGAGAAATTCAGCTGCAGCTGAATGAATGATTGAATCTATACAGTTATCATTTGAGGTCATGCACTCTTTCTTTAAACAAGCTAGAAGGCAGCAGTAATACTGGTCAGTTTCACCACATATTCATGTATTATATTTGTATAATATAGTTTGTCCTCTAATTTAGTTGATAGCCATGTCCATGATGATAAATTTACTAATTTCCAGAAGTTTCACAAAGCTTGAATAGTTTGCCTTTTTTTCTCTTTATTCTCTTTATTTTCTGTATTATTACTGTAGTGGAAATTTAAACACTTTATCATGTTACTAGGTTTTGTTTATTTTGTTAAAATTCAGCAGCATAAGTGGTGGATACCAAAAGCCAGAAAGTAGCAAAGTGCTAAAAAAGATGGTGAGCTAACTCTCGAAGTGGTTTTATAACAAACGGTCTGACACGATCATCTGGCAGGCAAGAAAATGTATAGTAATTGGCCCTGAATTGTATATACAGGCTTAGGATTGTTGCATTTGTATTAAAGCAGCTGAAAGGGAATCTGTTTAAAATGTGTGTATAAACAGGTACTGGTCAGAGGAGAGTGCAGAGAAGGAGAAGGAGTCGGCTGCTGTCGTCCCCACTATAAACACTGGCTCTACTACGACCACCACGTCTACCACTACCACCACTACCACTGGCACTGGCACCGAAAGACGCAGGTAAACCAAACACCTACTCAAACATCGATTTCATTCGTTTTTAGTAGCGCTTTAAACTTTGTGAATTTTTTATCGCAATCACATCTGTCCACCAAATTTATGGTGCTGTTTAAATGTAAGGAGACTTTCAGCATTTCCATAGACTTATTTCATGAAGAAAAGCTACCATCATTTCCATTTCTGTAGGTTTGTGTTCACTCTTAGACTCTGTGCAGACATTCTGGGAAGGGAGTGAGCGAGCACAGAGCTTGTGCTTGCACGTGTATGTTTGAGTGGGGTCCAGTGCATGTCCTCCTGTAGCAACGCTGAAATAAGCCACCTGTCACGGTGGGAGTGGGGCCAGGCTGCTTCAGAGCCTGAACTGCTCCAGTGACTTCTCCTTATAAGGAACGTGGGCAGAAGAAGCGCATTTTCCTCAAGGCCAAGACCCCAGTCTGGGCTGAATGAGTTCATACTTTTGTGTGGCCAACAGAAGCGTGTTTCAGCCTGAGACGAGCGATTACTGTTTTATTTCCCAAATTGTGTTGCCTTTTGGGCATGAAGCTCGCATCCTGGAATGTTTAAACCTAGAGGTTTATATCTCATTTTACAACTATAACACACGAGGAAGACATTATTTTAAAAATCCTGGCTTGGAGGGAAAATGACCAAGATTTTTTTTCCCCTCTCTTTCTCATATCTGTTCTTTGTTGCTATATTACAAATATATATCTAGCAGACAGCAGTGATTTTTACAATAGCTGTTTTTAATTTCCCCTGTGAAAGTGAAGCATGGATGTCCTTTACTCCAGCTAAGCTACACTGCAGCTGACTGCTTCCTCAGTTAATATTAACATTTTTAAAAAACTACCAGAGAAAAGAAATGTACCATTAGGTAAAAACACAAGCACAGCAATATTGTGGAGGTAAACAGATGTGTAAGGAGGATTAATGGGTTCCATTCTTGACACTGAACAAGCACATAGTAAAAAGAGAACCTGCTACTTTAAGTTGATACAAAGTATTAAATTGTCTTTGACACTTCACTCTAGGACTTCCCAGTGCACAGTCACACAGTCTTACCTCCATCTTTATATTTAGATGTTGTGATGTGACTGCGTCTTTGAAGGTTAGCAGGATCACATTAACAGGTTGACCTGTGTCACATGCATGATGATTTAGTCCAGTGTAGTCTAAATAAGAGCTGAAAACACATCAGATGAAAGCAACGCCTGGCTCTTTACATGTAGTTTAACCGCATTTCCATTGCAAGCTTGTTTTAAGGTGGAAATAAAACACTGCTAAAGTCTTGTTTACACCTGTAAATGCCCCATGTATTTGTGTGAGCAGGTGTGTTAATACTTTATCAGCAAATCTGTACATTTGGATGCAATTTCTGCTGATTAGAGAGCCTGTTTAGTAACCCCTGTTTCTTTAACGAAAGGTAAAGCTCAACATCATGAGGGCAAGAACGAAGCATATTTAAGTAGATTAACTTCCCCATTCAGGAGGGGCTTTTTTTCTTCTTCTTCTTCTTCTTCTTCTTTTTTTTTGGCTTCCTCTAAATATTTAACCTCTGTGTGTCTGTGTTTGTGTATTTTGCTTGTGTCTCTTTCAGGTCATACTTGACTCCAAAGCGAGATGAGGAGTCGGAGTCTCAGAGGAAAGCTCGCTCCAGACAGGCTCGACAGTCAAGGAGGTCCACCCAGGTTAGTTAAACCACATCACCTTAAATATGCTCAGTCCTCATCTCTTATGTTTGCAAAGGTGTATGTTCCTTTTAATGACCCTTAACCCTGTGAGCCAAAATGTCAGGCTCCACTCTGTTTGTACTACTCCTTGGCTCTGTATGATGTCAGTAAGAGCAGATATCCTAATATGGCCATCTCAAAAAGCTCTGTTTGTGAACTCAACCCACCTGCTGTTCTAGCCTTGTGCTTACAAGGGCTAGCCAACCACAAGAAAGTTGGTTTACCAGCAGGGGGAAGGGAGCTAAAATACAGTGATATAACTGCACTAAGACCCAGTAAATGAGTATAACATGCTGCCTTTAAACAATTCTTTTATAATGTAATTCCCATTCTATTTATAAATAGAATAGGAATTTGGTATTCATAGGAACATGTTTAATTTAACCTACAACTACAGCCTCAACCAAACCACAAAAACATAACTTATGTCTCTAATCTGACTTTTTTTTTTTTTTTATCCCCATCAGTTTTTGTTCTTAAATGTTGTTCTGAGTCTTCAGTTGTAGGAAACCTGCTTTAACATGATCAGAATAGTCACTACTGCTCAAACTGCTAATAAGCCAAATAAAGGTGGATTCCCACATCAAAACAAACTGTTAACAAATGATAACCTCTGCATGTTCCTGGTTTGTATTGTATTTCTATGGCCACAGACTGTTCAAATAAGACCTGTTATTCTTGTTGAGACAGCCCAGACTTTTATTTTTTGTTTGTGTACACAGGCAGCTCTTGTACCATGAGCTCATTTTACAGAATTTGAGCTTTGTCCCTGGTTTAAAAAGAACAATTCACTTGCATCAGTCGTCCAGTTTTCGAACTAATTAATTACCAATTCTGCAGCATGTATAGAATCTGCAAATATAAGACTAATTTTTAAAAATCATCCAAGAAAGAAATTAAAAAAAAGACTTTCCTTCTTCCAGGGTGTGACTCTGACTGATTTACAAGAGGCTGAGAAAACAATCGGCAGGAGTCGTACCACAAAGACTCGGGAGGAGGAGAAGGAGGAGAAAGAGAAGCAGGACAAGGAAAAGCAAGAGGAGAAGAAGGAGACTGAGACGAAGGACGATGATTACCGATACAAGTACCGCACCTACGATGAGGTACATACTTTAAATGTTTATATTGTTATAATGTATTACTGAAAAGACACAATATTTTATAATAATTTAAATATTACAGCTAGCCTGACCTCTTCATCTTACCCTCCTCTCTCCCAGCGGTCAAGGCTTTCATCTTCTTCCACCTCCACCATTTCCTCAGTCAGCACTGCCTCCACCCCTTCCTACTCTAGCACCACGTCCTCCAGTTCTAGCTCCCTCAACAGGCCTAACAGTCTGACGGGGATAACCTCCTCCTATAGCCGTTCCTCCAGAGATACAGAAAAGGGTGAGTGTTTTTCATACCCGATACAGGTATTGAAAAGTTGTGGTTGTGTTTGATGAGGAAAAGTCTTCAAATTTAAACCGAATGCACATAAAAGCATGGCTGCATGTGTGTGGCAGCACTACAGATGTCTTCAGATCTTAAACAGTCATTGCACTTTGTCAGATTTGAATTGCTCTGTAGTAAACTGGGCAAATGGATGTTTATTAATGTTGCCTCAAGGGGATTGCTAATCCCTCTTGTTTAAAACTGTGCCATCTTTGGTGAGGTGTGCTCTCACATAAAGCCATATAGGCACAGCCCGTACGTGCCTGCCGCTGTAACTGTCTCCACTGTTTTCACATGGGCCATATGCCAAATGTTGATTTAGACCATTGACACAGAAGGGGTTTGGGTTGTCTTTTAAATTAAGTACCTCTTCAATTAAACAAACCAATGCATGAAGTGTCCTTGGAAAATTGAAAGCAGCTGAAGGAAACTGTGACAGACTTGTGACCAAGCTTTTCCCCAAAATAGCAGGATGCCTTCTCAACAGAAAGGCCAGAGCTAGCTGATTAAGGACCGAGCTTTCAAAATAAGAGAAGACTGCAAACTTGCAGGGTGGCAGGGTAACAGTTTCACCTCACAGCATTAAAGTCCTCGTTTTGTATCCAGGCTAGGGCATGTTTTCACACACAGATGCACACAGTTCAAAAACATGCATCCGGTTAGGGCAACTAAGGATTCTGAATTCGAACATAGGTGTGAGTGGCTGTCTGTGCATATGTGCTGAGAGTATTTTATTTTTATTTATTTATTTATTTTTAATATGTTTGCAAGAGAAGAGATGAAATCCTCCATGGATGTAATTCTCTAGGTTTCTTTATGTGACACAATCATAATCTGTCTGATAATTGTTGACTTTCTTCTCAATGAAAGCAGAAGCAGACAAGAAGGAGGAGGAAAAGGAGGGAGAGGACAAGTCTCAGCCCCGCTCCATACGGGATCGCAGGCGGCCCCGCGAAAAGAGACGTTCCACTGGGGTCTCCTTCTGGAGTCAGGATGTAAGAGAGCTTTCTCTTTAGAGCTCAGTTCTTGAAGTGGTCATCACACTCTTTGTGAAGTGCACAGTTCATAACTCGTGCACAGCTTCGGGTGTTTCTTTGATCATTTGGATGGCCCAAAGCAGCACCTAACCCTCATATCTTTTTAAATTCCAGGGTGATGAAAATGACCCCGATCAACAGTCGGACTCGGAGGAGGGCAACGCCAAGGGAGAGCCACAGGTAACTCGGGTCATAGGAGAGAAAATAGATTAAACTGACTAAAGGAGAAGCCCTCCAGCCTCCATCCTCCTTCTCCTTGTATCCCATGACGTCTATTTTATCTTTTGCATGTATTTACTATTCTGGTCCTTCCTCGCCTCATCTCATGTCGTTAAGGCCAAGGAAGTGGACTAGTCTTTGATATTCATTACTCTGTGCCGTACAGCTATGATTTTCTCCCCTACCGCTTATCTTTTCTTTTTCTTTTTTTGGACTCCTGCCTTTGAATTTCTTATCGTCCTCCCCCTTTCCACCTTCCGGTGATTGTCTGGTGTATGAGGGTGACCTTGCAAACCAAAGGCTCACTCGGCAACAGATCGGTGGGCTTTCAAAACATGTAGAAGCACAAAAGGAAGGAAATGCAGGTCTTTTATAGGCAGAAAACACACTTAAATGACATGCTGACAAGTTGAACTTTGAGCCCTTTTTTTTTTTTTTTCTCTCTCCACAAATGGAGTCAGAATTTCAGCTTAAAACGAACAAGAAATAACATGTAAGAATTTTCCTAAAGGCTTCTGGTGACATAAGCATAAAAAAGCAGTGGAATCCAGTGCATTCATACTGTCCTTAGAAGCCACAGAGAGGGCAGCTTTGTGAAAATATTGTTGGCTGGGTGCACTTCCTGTTTGGATGGGAGTGTCTTTTGAAGCATAATGGAGAACACACAGTTTTCCTTTGAGTACAGAGATCCTGGGGAGGAGAGAGAGACAACAGCTATTTACCATCACTTCCTGTAGGACAGTAAAAAGGGTGGACCAAATCGGAAAGGAGCCCTTATCCAGAAATGTACAGGAAAACCTCATAAAATTCCAGCTCGTCTCTCTTAATTACTTAATTAAAAATGTATTTTTAAGTTGAGTTTGCAAATATTAATTTGTTTAATAAGTTTAAGCTCATCTAAGGTCATCCTGATAAATGTTGGTACTGAAACAAAATGCTTGGTTGATTCCTAATTAGTAGATAAGACACTAAAGACATCATTTAAAAACAAAAAACAGCCAAAATGGATCCAGAGTCTGTATTCAAAGTCTCTCTCCAGTTGCACCTTGAATAATATTGAGCTAGCTCTACAGCTTTTATCTCAACCCCCCCCCACCACCACC